TACACGGCTGAACAGTTAAATGGCACTGCGCGCGACCGACTTTCTTGTTTACTATAGCTCGCGCAATTGGCAGATATCGTGTAGGCCAATGGTTAATATTAAATTAAAGATGGGATTATTAAATTCTGATGTTGAACCCATGTTTAAACTATCTGGTGATACAGCGCTTAAAGACAAAATACTGATAGATTTTTGGCTATCTTGTCGTCAAGAATATCTAACTTTTGCACAGAAGAAAATTAAATTTCTAATTTGTTATAGGTGAAGGTGAAACAACCTTTGCGACATTTGTTTTCTAAAAAATAAATACACGACACAATGCAATTTTCTAATACAATTATATAATTTTCTAAAAAACAAATATACGACACACACATAAAAAGAGACTACGTGCGTAGCTTGAAGTTGGCAACAACTGTTTTGGTGACGTCCTCTATCCATGCGGCCAGTTTCAACTTAACCGGTCACGCCAGTTGGGAGTACTGTGTCATTGAGTCAACACATGCAACTGTATTCTGCCGGAAAAATGTCTTATGTTGTAGAATTCCTCATTTTGGAATTTCCTAAGTTCATGTTAGAAGTGAAGAATCTAAGAACTGATAGGCGAATAATCGCTTGAGTTCGGTGATAAGGAACAACAAGATAGAAGGGTAACTAACCCTTTATTATTCCAATAAGATTTAACAAAACTCCGCCTGGGAGTGTACAAGCAAAGCCCGCATTTGGACTTGAACTTAAAAGACTAAGAATTAAACTAAAACTAAGATTAACTAAAGAAGTATAGCCGAAGCTATCAAGGTTCAAAACCAGTTGGCCCCTTAACTTATTTGACTACGAAGCTTAGCAAGGGCCTGAGTACGGCCGAGGGTAATAACAGCTTTCAGAGAGAGAGTGGCCAAAAAGGCAGACGCGCGGAAATCAGAAACTCTGATTCTCTCCGACTCGGTAAGTAACTTCGTGGTTTAAATACCGCTCCTCCTCATTAAATATTCAGCAAGATTCCAAAACTACGTTCTGGCCGGAAGTAGTAAGTTGAAGTTAAGAATTTGACAGGAAAGGAACTTTAACTTAAAATTTAACTGTTAATAAAATTAACATAATCCTTACAATGTAAAAACGGAACAGCGAATTAACATCAAGTTTCTTGTGAAACTTAAGAAAATCAGTTACGGAGGAAACATTTCAAATGTTAACCGAGGTTTATGGAGATGAAATTTTATGTCGTGCACGTGTGTCTGAATGGCATAAGCGGTTTTCGGAGGAAAGGGACAGTGTGGTCAAGCCAATGTTAATTGTTTGTCTTCTTCGACATTAATGGAATGGTAATGATTGAGTGGGTTCCCAGTGGTCAGACTTAATCAACACAACTACACTGAAGTACTAAAAGCCTTCGTCAAAATATTAGGGAAAAAGGGCCAAAGTTGTGGAGTAATGGATGGCTGTTGCACAAGAACAATGCATCCGCTCACATGGCCCTATCTGACAAACAGTTTCTGACCAGCAAAAACATTACTGTCATCGGGTATCCTCCTTATTCACCTGATTTGGATTCAATCGTCTTTTTTTTATTTCCTAAAGTTAAATCTTGCTTAAAGGGAACCCATTTTACCTCAGTTGAAGAGGTTCAGGCAAAAACGGAGAATCTCCAAGGGCCTTCCAGAAACCTCGTTCCAGAACTGTTACCAGCAATGGCAGCACCGGATGCAGAAGTGTGTGAATGCTGAAGGGGACTACCTTGAAGGTGATAATTGTCACGGAGAACTGATTTTGTAAGTAATAGGGGGACCGGATGTCGTTTCTGCGCATGTCGACAACAACATGCTAAGGGCAGAAGTGGAAGCAAATCCATGTCAAACACTCTTAACGGACCTTGGATCGACAATCCAAGAACATTTAAAGCAGAATGGAAAAATAAGCAAAGCAGGTGTTTGAGTCCCCCATAATCTGTCCTAAAAGAACAAAGCCAACCGATCCATCCCAAGCAACGTATTGCTTCAACGGCACCATACAGAACCGTTTTTGATCGTTTGATGAGTGGAGACAAAACAATAAGTCCTATATGATAATTCAAAACTCAAAAGGCAGTTTTAATAGGCGTTACAAAGGGTTTACATCCCGAAAAGGCGCTTCTGGGTGTTTGGTGGAGTATTCGCGGAAATGTTCATTTTGAATTGCTGAAACCTGGAAAAACTGTTAATTTATTGTGAACAACTGGATCGAGCGAACCAATCTTTAATCGAAAAATATCTGGCGATTGTCAACGGAAAAGGCGTCATTCTGCAACACGACAATGCAAGACCGCACTGTGCAAGACGAACACTGAAAAAATATAATGAATTGGGGTGGGAGGTACTGCCTCACCCACCATATTCGCCCGATATCGCGGATTTCCATTTATTCCGATCCCTACAACATTTTCTTATTGACGAAAAATTTAAAAATTTGGATGATGTCCAAAATGCCATCTCGAGATATTTTACTCAAACACCAATTGATTTTTATCGGTCTGGGATTGAAATCGGCATACTAGATGTCAAAAGGTTGCTGATAACGAGGGTTATTATATTATTGATTAAAAATAAAAACTTGTTACAAATTTATTCGTTTGAATTTAATGTAAGAAAGTGACATTACTTTCCGATCCCCCTATTAGAATGATTTATTGGACCAGTCTTTTTTTTTTTTTTTTTTTTTTTTTTTTTTTTTTTTTTTTGTGTGTGTGTGTGTGTCACACCTTCTAGGGAATCGATTAGATATCGAACCAGATTTAAGAATAAAATTGTCATCTTTGTGTGTTGATCTGAAAATTCTAAATGACACACAGCATAACATGTCCCATTAAAGCTTTTAATTGTTTTACATTTATAATGCATTTTTATTGCTTTCACAATATAAGAAAATATCTGAACATTAAAATTTATTCAGTTTACCAGTAATCCCTAAAAACGTTTTCTGGGCCGCGAAGGAAAACTGTTAGAACAACCCGATCGCGAAGCATTAGGGTGATGTCTGGTGAAAGTCTAAACCATGTGGAACTATGGCAGCACTACGTGCCCGATTAAGAAATAAGAAATATTACTGGAGAGTTTTAGAATTTATTTATACGAAAATATAAAAAATGGACACATCTTACTTAATTTAATCTCTCTATTATTTCACATAAACCACCATCATAAAATTTATAAGAATATAAAATACAAAATAAGATAATATTCTTAAATAATAACAAAAAATGTACTTTTCAACGTGACGACAGCGACATCATGATTGGCACAAGGTGTTTAATATTCGGGGATATAGCAGACGTTGAAACTAGTGACTTGTTCTTTAAGTTCGCATTAATAATTCGTAATCTGTCTTGGATTTCACATCAAGTTGCTCACATTTATAGGTTCTTCCAAATAGCATCATTCCCCCCCCCTCGGCTAAAGCTGTCAACTTTAGAAACTTGTCATGTGTCTTTTTGTTTTCAACTTTCACTTAGTAGAGTTGTTACGGTGAAACACCGAAATCTGGAGAATGTCGACTTTCGCCGGTGAATGTATCAACATTCACATAGTCTCTTGGTGTATGTCCGAAATATTTTCCAAATACTCTTATATCTGACTTACACCGATCAATGTCGACATTCACCATGTACTAATGGTGAATGTTGAACATATAACAATATTATATTTTCTTCTCCGTGATTCAGTCGCGAATAAACGCACTCGAAACTTGAAATAAGAACTTAAGAACGTGAGAACCTAAAACACAAAAACACACGATAATTCAAAAAATGAGAAAGGAAAATAAAGAAGTTAAAAAACTTACTTAATTATACAGTACTTTCTAAATGAGAAAATAAAATAACAGTCATAAAAAAACTTACTAAATTATGTGATTCAAATCTTATTGATTGCAACAACTTAAACTATTATGGCACTTTATGACCTCTCTTTTCGACTTTCAACAGAGCATATCTGTGATTGTCGACATACACCGGTGAGGGTCCGAATATACAAGAATGTAGTGAAATATTCGGTCTTTCACCGACGTATTTGGTGAATGTTGATATTCTCCGGTGAAAGTAGACATTCTCCAATTTCGGTCTTTCACGGTAACAGAGTCATTAGGTTATTTCGAAGCAGGAGAAATGAAAAATGAGCAATGCCTTCGCCGGGACTCGAACCACGGACCTTTCGAATTCGCGTCGAGCATGCTGACCACTGCTCCACGAAGGCATACTAAGAAGGAGGGAGAAATACCTTATAACTTGTTGTTCGATTAGTTCCACTTACAAAGAAAGTGGTGCTAGTTCGATATGAACATCGAATGAAGAAGGGGGAAATTCTCACGTTTTTAAAATCACTAAGCCTAGTGCTCGCAGGCTTTCTTCTTGGTTTTTAAAATCCCTGAACCTGTTATTGAATTCTTGATTCAAAGATTTCAGTTCATTCGCAGTCAAAATCATTTTTAACGTTCGCAAGTGCAGGAAAATGGAAAGATGCCTGGTGGCTAAAATTGGTAAGCAGGGAATGAGACGATTCGCCGTCGCCATTTCGCCGTCTAGATATAACTTTTTTACAAGACTGTATTATATCTTGCCGTATTATATTGATTTAAACTACTAACTCTGTTTAGTTTAATAATTTAATTTGATAAACATTTTTTATATAAAATAATATATAAAATGGTTTTTGTGTACAGTTTGATACAAATACACCATTACACATGACATACTGATTTTAAGAGAGTAAGGTGCTGACAAGATTCCAAAGTAATCCCGTTTTCCATTCAGATTTCATAAAAATGTGAATTTCCTGCTTGTGTGAGTGATTTCTCTGAACTAGCCGATTAAAATTTCAAGAAATTTTGACGAATCATGTAAATTTTGTACCCACATAATTTTTAAATCCGATAATATAACTTCTGTTATATCAGAAGTTTAGCCCCAGTTCTCTTTGATACTGGCATAATTTTCCAACTAACTATATATCTCATATTTGTAAATAACTATATGCATTAAAAGCAACCTTTATTACGTATACAAAAGGTAAAAGGTAAACGGAATTATTAAACTAAATAAATTTTATACGAGTATAAAACGGCGAGATAAAATACTTTCATGTAAAGAAAAATATGTCTTGCCATCGAAACGTTCCGACGGTGAAACATCCCGACGTCGAAACGTTCCGACGGTGAAACATTCCGACGTCGAATCGTTCCGACGGTGAAATATCTCGACGTCGAAACTTTCCGACGGTGAAACATCCCGACGTCGAAACGTTCCGATGGTGAAATGGCCACGGTGAAATGGCAACGGCGAAAAGTCCTAGATCTTGGTAAACAGGTAATGTCCTGGCCCATGACTATCTGTAAGGCTGGCATGCCAGACAAGGTCTCAATTACGTCCGGTTCTTGCGAGGACAGCTTCGTGACAATGGCGTGACATTTGATTTCAATATCTTCTTAAGTTATATTTCTTCACAACTGGAATAGTTTTTAAACAAATAAAGCAAAGAGTTTTTCCTTCTACATTAGAAACAGATAATCGTCAGAGTCCACTTCTCTTGAAATGTACGTCTCCCAGCGTCTACTTTTCTCTCCTCTGATGAAGCCATATTAATTAGCGTTGGATAGGAAATTCACAAATATATGAAAGTGAAACGTAGGCTGATATAAAGCGTGGAAACTGGAAACTTTACATACAGCAGCAGTGAACGTGATCAAGCTGACGGCAGTGGAAGAGTCTCACAATTACCGACTATAGCAAACCACCGGAGTTCCTATGACATAGAGGCTATTCCTTTCCTATGGAGGAAAAAAAAAATGTTAAAATAAGAATGAAAAGTTTTAAAAATGGATAAAAATCTGATAAAATAAGAACTTTTATAAAATTATTTATTACAACTGTTTTAAACTCTTTACAAGTGGTTGTTATTCAGATTTCAACAGTTAACACGCCAGATTTAATAACATTTGGAAAAGTGTTCGTGAATCGTTCACAATTAGGACACGGGCCGTGTGTTGCACATGCCTCCTCTAAACAATACATGCCCTCGTAGTCCCAAATCTCGCGCTAAATCGTTCAACTCAGGCTAGCCTATTGCCTAATAAACGGTGTGGTGTGGTGGTGTATTTAATTATGGCAAAGCACACTAGGGCTAGCTTGCCTAAGGGATAGGATGCCTTCGTGGAGGACTTTCTAAGGAGAACTGGCTCGTATACACTTTACACATGAGAAAAAGCCCATGCAGCCAGATCCCGCGAAAGGGCTGGCTGCATGGGTGTTTTCGTGTTTTTTCCCTAACTATGTCTAACGTGTATAAGAGCCAGTTTCCCTTAGAAAGTCCTCCACTAAGGCATCCCTCCCCTTAGGCAGATAGCCCTAGTGTGCTTTGCCATAATTAAATACACCTACACCAACCCATGCAGCCAGCCCGTTCACAGGGATTTGAACACCGAACCGAACTACAAATGTTCAGCGACTTTATCGCTCGGCCGCTATTATCGCAGTGTGAATTTCTGCGCATGTTAGAGCATATTTTGGAGGTAAGGTAAAATGCATCCATGTCAAAATTCTTCTCTAATGTTCAATAAATCTGCGATTTTCAAATTTTTTCCCGTTACTCTTAGATTATTTTTTATAATAAAATAACTTTAATACTATCTTTCGGTAAAATTTGCGCGAAACGTACATTGCAAAATAATCCGGAATATAATCCTCTGTCCGTTATCTGCGTCTACGGATTATTAGTTTCGGTAATGGATAAATCTGTTTTTCACATTTCAAACTGTGGCTTACTATGAAATCTCTGCGTACAACGCAATGCATCAAATATTTTTTACTTTCCCCTACGAAGTAAAAGGAATTACTGTACTCACGAAAAATTTCGGGTATCATATTTCAACCAAAATATCCATTTTGACCGCCCTCAAATCCATTTCAACGATGTTTTGGGGTCACATTTGCATGTATGGAAAGAATGACGGCAAGGCCGTATTGATGGGAGAAGGCCGAATGCAAACGGGTTTTCCCGTGATGTGACGTCACAAGCGAGGGCAAACATACTAAGGCAATCTTCAAGCAGTATAAGCTTAAACAGAGCGTACGATTCACCTAGAAGGTTGTTTTTGCGTGATGGACATAAACATTAAAGTACAGCCCCTGCACTGGAAGGACTTAGCCTCCCTTTCAAGGTTTCAGAGTTGCAACTTCAGGACCAATCTGAGAGGGCGCCACTCCTCCCGATTGCTGCAGAGGGAAAACTTCCCTCGAATATTTATTCGTCAGAGAAGAGACCGACGGGCGACCATTACAAAGAGATCTACAGGGCCGGTCTCAACTCCGACTACTGCACACGTCAGACTAAAACTTCAAAGATAAATTCCCACGAGCGGGGCACCACTCCCTCTCGCGGTACTAGCTACAAGGACGGTAATTTAAATCTCAAGATCCTGCGTCCCTCCACACCGACCGAGAGGAGCCAATCCCTCTCAGACGGGCCAACACCATCCACCATGTAACGTCCCCACCACCAAGGACACGGACAAGGCAGTATCAGTACGATCTCTGCCAAGCCAGAACCTACCATCGAATAAACGATGGTTCTAATCTATGTGAAGACTGAGTATTTGCTCTGCAGGCGGGAGCTGTCTAGACACAAGTCTAGCCAAGAATCCCGGGTCTCCTTGTATAAATGGTCGCTTCCGGAAATTGCGTGATGGACAGAATAAAGGACTTCTCTCTCTCAAAAGGGATGTAGAGTCATTAGGTTTATTGCAGGCAGGAGAAGTTAAAATGAACAATGCCCTCGCCGGAACTCGAACCTCGGACCTCTCGAATGCGCGCCGAGTGTGCTGACCATTACACCACTAAGCCATGCTAAGAAGGCGGGAGAAATACCTTTACAGAGATTTAAAAATGGATTCAGAAGATACTTTTTTTCGACGTCTGCACGTACGTAAGTATGGATCTCGTATAACTCAAAAGCAAGTAGCCTCAGATCGTTGAAATTTTGTATATAGGACTCCTATAACCTGCAGTTGTGCACCTCCCTTTTTGTTTTCAATCGGCCCCTCCAGACATATACATATCTATGTAGTAATCGTACTTTTTGGCGGAAGATGAAAACAATTCATTTTCAGTGACGGCCGGAAAACTGCTGCGTAGATGACTGGACATTAAGGCGTAGTCGATGATCGCATGGAATTTGTAGAAGCATGACCAGCTTGAACATTAAACATCATTTATTCTTGAATGAAAAATTTCTTAATACATAACTGTAGAAGACCAGGTGTGCTAAACGCGCCCCATAATTTTAGATACGCAATTACATTTTATATAATGACGAATACCTGGCAGAGGCTGAGCGACAAGCTGTCGGCACGTAGGCGAAAGAGACGAAAAGAAATTTCGTAAAGACGAAAGAAATTGAAATTTGAAGAGGGTCGAAGATAGAGGTGACATTCATAAACCCTTTTCAAGTACAGTAAATAATTTAGTTTCATTGGTCATACTGATTTTCGAAGAAATGCGTAGGTAATAGAATAAACAAAGATTTCATACCATGCCTTGAAGACGATACAAATAAGGCGTTTTTAAATAAAAATCGTGAGTGGTAAATTTCCTTAATATGCTTTTTTAGCCTTAGTTTGCGCACGTAAAACAGAAATAATTTCAGCTGAATGTTTAAAGTAAGCAAATATCTTAAACTTATACAGGGTGTACCGTAAATGTTACGACAAACTTCTAGAGGAGGTAAGCGGCGTCATAAGGATTAAGAATTGCATAGGAACATATACCCGAAAATGTCAGGGATAAGTGGTAGGAGGTAGAAGATGGGAAAGGAAACAAGAGAGGGATTAATTTTAAACATTTATTGGACACGAATACAAATGATGTTTCGAACAGCTTGAATGTTACAACAGATGCTCGAAGTTCACCCCATCAGACGCCAAACATGCCAGACACCGACGGACCACTGATTGCCCGACATGTTCAAACACACCGCGATTTTCTTTGATTGTAGCAACTGCGCAGGCGAATCTTGCCACGAGATCCATTTCAGACAAAACAGGATCGTGACACACGACACATTTGATGGCTTCCCAAAAAAAAAAAAAAAAAAAAAAATAATAAAAAAAAAAAAATAAGGCTCGATAAGTCCGGTGAGTGTGTGGGGTCAGGAAACTTTTCCACCACGCCCAATCCATCGATGCGGGAATGCGCTGTTCAAATGGCTACGAACATCCAGTCCAAAATGTAATCCACTTCTGTAATGACCCGCAGTCGCACAAATTTCAATGCAGACATGCAAATAAACTGTGCTGTGGTTGATGTCTGTCGGGAAAGTGTTCTCCATAAATGCCAGCAGCGGGTCGTCCATGAAATTCAACTGCTCCATACACTAAATACATGTCTGCAAGTTGTCCGTTCGTATAGCGTTCCATGCTCTTCGTAGGGTGGCTACCGCTCGAACGAGGCAATCCTCACTTTCCACTAGCAGTCCCCTGTAGACCACCCCCTGGCGGCGTACAGTGACGTTTCTGGGGATGGTTTCCTATGCAATTCTTAAGGCTTATGATGTACCCTACCTTTCCTAGAAGTTTGTCGCAACATTTACGGTACAGCATGCATACAAATAAATTGTTTAGAAATGTTTCTTAAGTTTATACATTCTTAAACCTATTTCAAGTTAAATAAAACGTAATTTATTGAGATATTATCAAAGATAACAAGAATAAGTCTCTGACTTACGACGGGACTACTTAGAATGGCACTCGTCGTAAGTCGAAATTTACTTGCAGATGCAATATATCAGTTAAGAAAGGCAAAAAGTGTTTTCTTCATTAGATATACAGTCTGGTGTTGCTAGTATCACGTAATATATTGTGACGTTTTTCTTTTTCTCTTACTTCTGACACCAGTTGTTACGTTATTTTCTTCCTTCACGTTCTTGCGGGGTTCGTGTGGATTTGGAGTGAATAATGACGACACTTGATGAAGTATCGAAACACACTTTATTTGCCAGTATTATCAGGACAGCTCCAAAACACGTTTTACAGTCGTCGATGAACTACTATAAACACGTTGGAACAATCAGCGACACAACCTTCACACTCTCAGGCAATAACGTTGGAACAATCAGCGACACAACCTTCACACTCTCAGGCAATAACGGTGGAGACAGCTTCACTGCAAAGCAATCGAGTACAGCTCCCGACTCTGCTTGGTCGTTCTCGGAACTCCGCGTACTCTCGAGACTCTCCACACGATGCACTCGACGATACAGAAGAGTATAGCTCTCGACTCAGCACAGTCTATGACGAAACTCGACGATGCACTAATTTGCGATACACTAAAACACTCTCTCGATGCACTCGACGATCACCTCGGCGCTAGACTTCGAGACACTCGCTCAGTGACTGACTATCAACTCGCTAGACGAGGCGCACACACTCTCGATGAGAGACACACACCTTCCTGACTGCAGACCAGCACGGTTTATATAGCTTTCGGCTTGTGTTCGGGAACATTCTGGACTAAGCCGGTAAGAATTCGTTCCAGAAGGTTCTCCAACCGTCCATGGTATATCGCGAATTTTGTCGCCAAATGGGCGATTTCTCGCCAAATGTGGCAACCCTGCCTTCCATTGCCCTTTTATGGTAACCCTAAAACTGCTTTGCGGGGGAAGCCATCTCACCGCACCTTTACAGTTCGTAACAATATAGTAATACCAAAAAGTCAGATATTATAATTATGAGGTTGTAGATACATTAGGTATTTTTTTTTGGAAGCAGGAAAGATA